GAGCCAGAACCTGTAGAGTCATCCAATTGACCTGCAATAACCCCACCTTAATCACATGACTCACACAACTACCCATGAGCCATAAACAATGATTGTATCTGTAATACTCTACACTATTCTAGTAGCACACTAGAGGGTGCTATATACATAATACATTTCTCTAAAAATCTCTCAATCCCTTCTAACATTCTGCTTAAACTTTGTGATTTGTAATAGTACTTAGACCTTGAAGAAGGGGACATACCCCGAAAGCTTGTCCTCAAAATTGTAAGTTAGTGCAAATAAAAAAAAGTATCACGGACAGTACTCAATTGTTTCTAAAAATCTGTAAGTTTTTCATTTTTCACTTACGGCTTTCAGAATTTGTAACATACCCCCTAAATCCTATTTTGTCTGAAAGCACATGACCAGTAGAATAAAAAGAAGGGGCTACTGATTTTTAAGGCTCCGCAATATTTGCGCAGATGTTTATCAAAACAATATTTTCGCTAAAATACACTAAAATCATTATTAGCAGATACAAACACAACAGATTTTACAAAAATCCTGCTAAATTCCTACTAAATATAAAAGCTTAACCTGTATTGAGTTAATAAATAAGAAATATTTGTAAATTTTAAATTGTGCCTTTTTGCGAAATGGTGAAAATTGAACGTATGCAAAACTGTAAATAACCAAATTTCTCCCAACAATCTGGAGGTGTTCAATTTTCACTTACAGGTCGAAACATTACATCTAATTACTGTATATACCTTCACTTATACTTAAGCTGGCTACACATTATACAATTTTCTTGTTCAATTTCCTTTAGATTTACCTTCAACTATGTAGTGAAAGGGTGTGCCTGATTGCATACAATTTGAAAGTGTTTAGGTTTGATCTCATATTATATGGTTTTGGTAATCTAAAGGAAATTGTACAAAAACAATTGTTTAACATGTAGCCAGCTTTAAAGTGACAATAAAACTGATTTTTTTTAATAAAAATATAAGACATGCTATATGTTTAAATATAAAACAAATGTTCCATCTATTTCTTTCTTTCTTTTTTTTCATCTCTCAAATGCAAGATTTTTTGTGCTATTCTCAGACTTCCTCTTCTAGGGTTGCTATGTTCAGTCTCCATGCTCCTCTTATGTATGTGAATGCAGCCACCCATCCCTGCTCACCCCTGAAATGGACTAGCCATCTACATACAGACACATTCAGATCTATGGAAGTTGTAGTACGCATAGAGTGGATTGTGTGACCAGAAATAACAGCACTTCCCACTCAACACTAGTAGTAGACAGGAGCATCAATGGAGGATAGGTAGTATGCATAGGACAAAAGAGAATCATGAAAATAATAGTAAGAGAATAAAGAAAAAATAAACAGAGCCATGGTATACTAGATACAGTATTTTAAAATTATGTATGTTAAAAATGAGCTTAGTGTCACTTTAAGAAGTTGCCTGGGCTTTTAACAAGCCAGAGGCATATCATTCAGTGGCCTTCCCATCTCCTTTCCATGATCACTGGTTTCCTCCATTTTTCTTTAACCTTCTTGGACCAGAGGTCATTGATGCTTAAATTTCCCAAATCAAATTCTGCAGCATCATTGTCAGTTAACCTCACTTACTCCAAGACAAATTTTTCAGTTGACAACAGGATCTGAGAACGAAGAATGCACACAGGTGCATCCTTAGTTCTCTCTTCCAACATTACTTAGCATTGCACAGAGTTTTGTTCATAAAGACGTAAAAAGATGTACTGCAATTATTAATTGGTAACAGCTACTAGACCTGTGAAATGACCAACTGAAATATCGCCTTATGCACAGTCAGGGGCGGACTGACCATTTGGAAACTCGGGTTTCTGCCCAAGGGCCCGGGGTCAGTAGGGGGCCCCATGAGATGCCCCTGGTACCTTTTTAATAGGCTTTTTTGAGTTTGGGCAAGGACACAGGGGTCCCATGATCCCCTATTGCCTGGGGGCCCCATGAGTTGTCAGTCCACCCCTGTGCACAGTAGTATGCAGCAGTCAACCATATACAGTAAGACTACAGCCACTTGAGTTTTGTACTGTGCGTGTGTTCCCATTTTTTATTTGTTTATTTCAAAATATCCTTGGACATGATCTAGGACTTCTCCATAGGGGGCGGGTGCAATTGCACCTTCTGCCCTGGCTGTGCTGTCATTCGCTGCAGATCAGCAGGTCCCAGCCAGTGTTTTATGGTTGGGACCTGCTGATCGGCTAAGTGAATGACAGAAGAGAGCCTCTGTTGGTACATGACACAGGGCTCTCTAAAGACAGCAGCGATGTGCCATTTTTTTCTCCCTGCAAAGCAGAGTGTAAAAACCAGCACATTTATTAGTAGAAACCAGGGGCGGACTGACAACTTATGGGGCCCCTGGGCAATAGGGGATCATGGGGCCCCTGTATCCTTGCCCAAACTCAAAAAAGCCTATGAAAAAGGTACCAGGGGCATCTCATGGGGCTCCCTACTGACCCCAGGCCCTCGGGCAGTGTCCAAGTTTCCAAATGGTCAGTCCACCCCTGGTACAAACAGCACACAGTACACACAGTAAATAATATTAGGCACACAGTTAACCTTTTGATTGCCCCTAAATGTTAACCCAGTGGTTCTTATCCTGGGTTAGATCGAACCCCAGGGGTTTGGTGAGTCAGTCTCGGGGGTTCGGCGGAGGTGACCCACACCCGACTCATGATTTGTGATGACATGCCCAGTGGTCGGCAAGCCGCGGCTCTTGTGTGCCGGGCGCCCGCTCCCCTCCCTCCTCTCGGGCGGCAGGGACTCAAATGCAATGATTGGCCAGTCTCGCTGCCACTCACATCCTGATAGCCAGTGATTGGCTGTCAGGATGTGTGTAGGCGGGGCAGCGTGACGAACGTGAGAGGAGCTAGGCTCCTCTCACAGTCCGCCCTGAAGACCGGAACGGCGCGGGAATACAGCGAGAGGAACGCGCGGAGCAAAGGTAAGTGAATTGACACAGGGGGGACTTAATATGGGGGATGAATTAATATGGGGAATGAATTACTATAGGGGGGATGAATTACTATGGGGAATGAATTACTATAGGGGGGGGATGAATTACTATATGGGGGATGAATTACTATATGGGGGATGAATTACTATGGGGGATGTATTACTATATGGGGGATGAATTACTATATGGGGGATGAATTACTATATGGGGGATGAATTACTATGGGGGATGAATTTTCATACCGTTTGTTACAACATATCTTTGCGAGCAATCCTTTTCGAGGATGCTGGACATAAAGACGAAGAAAAGGAACAGACTTTGTTGCGAAAATGACATGAGAGTGGCACTTGCCAAGGTAATGCCGCGCATTTCTGAACTGGCCTCTGAAAGACAACAGCAGAAGTCACACTGATTTGCGGTAAATATTCATTATTTTGTTTTTGTGTGAAAATCATGTTTTAATGGTTTTGTTCTTTGTTCTTAATGGTTTTGTTCATTTTGTGCACCTATGTATAAATATATACCTATGTTTTGAATTTTAAAAATCATATTTTATTTTTCCAATTAAGAAGGGTTCGGTGAATGCGCATATGAAAATGGTGAGGTTCAGTACCTCCAAAAAGGTTAAGAACCACTGTGTTAACCCCTTCCCAGCCAGTATCATTAGTACAGTGACAGTGACATATTACAAGCACTCATGACTGTATTAGTGTCACTGATGATATCAGTGTCAGTTCCCACAAAGTGTCAGTGTCAGATTGCCACCGCACTATCATAGTCCCGCTATAAGTCACTGAACTACCATTACTAGTATAAAAAAATAAAAATTCCAGTATATATACTCATTTTTAGACACTATACATTTCATGCAAACCAATTCATATACACTTACTGGGATTTTATTTTTCTAATGACATGTAGCAGAATACATTTTGGCCTACATTTATGAAGAAATTTTATTTAATTAATTGATTTAATTGATTGATTTAATTTAATTTTTTATTGGATATGTTTTATAGCAGAAAGTAAAAAATATTGTTTTGTTTTTTATTCTAAAGCTTTGGTCTATTTTCTTTTATATAATAAAAAAAATAAAAAACCCAGCGGTAATCAAATACCACCAAGAGAAAGCTCTATTACTTATATAAATTTCATTTGGGTACAGTGTTACATGACCACTCAATTAGCAGTTAAAGTAGCGCAGTGCTAAATAGCAAAACATGGCCTGGTAATGAAGGGGATAAAATCTTCTGGAGCTCAAGTGGTTATTACTAATATGCATTCCTGACTGGTTTTCCTGAAGTTTACATGTGCATGAATCTTTTCATCTGATCACCCCATAACATTCAAAAATCCTTCAGCAAATTCTATATTTATGAAAATAATAAAAAACAGTTTATATTGCTCCAGAAAGTAATGCCCCCAATGACTGAACAGCAATGAAGCATATTTATGTGATATATTAAAATGTCTCAAATAAGTTTGTATCACAATAACCCTTCCTAGCAATGACACTGGGGATTAGCAATAGTTGGCAGTCAAGCAAAGCTGCAAGGCAGTTTATAGGAACCCCACCCACAACAGTTATGCTGATATGTAGACAATTTCCAGCATCTGATCATAACAACAATAAATGCCATAAAGTCAAACAATATGTATTCCATTTGCTACATAATTGTATGTATAAAATATACAACCATTTTGGTATGTATTTTTGCTGTATAAACAAGTATTTTATCCGACTGTCATGTCTGTGTTACATCCACAAGGCCACAATAGTGTCTATAAAGCAGGTGCCTAATAACCAGCACTGCTGGGATGCAAGCAAGGACATAAGGAATAGATGCTGGGCGTTTGTGTGTAGGTATGTATTTGTTTTTGTTTTAAAAAAGAGGTTGTAACGGAAGCGTAGGCAGGACAGAACACACAAAGAAGATGGGAACACACAAAGCTTTATTGAACTATGAAAGACACTCAATCAGGACAGTTCATGGCACTCTGCTTGTAGGGACACCCACGGTAAGCGGGCTCACAGGAACTCAACGGGTCTTTGGCGATGGGGTCTGACCTCAGCACAACCCCCACACAGCGTACTAGGGAACACATCAGGCTCACGGGGACTCAACGGGACTTTGGCTGTGGAGTCTGGCCTCAACACATCTCCCACACAGCGTACTAGGGATGACACCAGGCTCACGGGGACTCAATGGGGCTTTGGCTGTGGAGTCTGGCCTCAGCACAGCTCCCACCCAGCGTACTAGGGACAACATCAGGCTCATGGGGACTCAACGGGACTTTGGCTGTGGAATCTGGTCTCAACACAGCTCTCACACAGCATACTAGGGACAACAGGCTTACGGGGACTCAGCAGGACCTTGACTAGGGGGTTGACCTCAGCACAGCTCCCACCCAGCTTTCTAGGGACATCAGGCTCACGGGGACTCATCAGGTAGCGATGGCTCAAGCACTCAGGGGCATCCCAGGTAGTTATACTCTGGGCACGCCATGGGGCGGTTCAAGTAAAGGTAGTCTGGGTGTGCAATGGGGCAGCTCATGACAAGGGAGGTCTGAGCGCACAATAGGGACAGTTCATGACATGGGGTGGTCTTAGCGCACAATAGGGACAGTTCATGACACGGGTGGTCTGTGCGCACAATAGGGACAGTTCATGACACGGGTGGTCTGTGCGCACAATAGGGACAGTTCATGACACGGGTGGTCTGAGCGCACAATAGGGACAGTTCAGGACAAGGGTGGTCTGTGAGCACAATAGGGACAGTTTATGACAAGGGTGGTCTGTGTGCACACTAGGGACAGTTCATGACAAGGGTGGTCTGGGCACACAATAGGGGCAGTTCATGGCTTCTAGGGACACTCATGATAGGCTCAACAGCAGGCGGCTTCCAGGGGGGTAGGTGACTTGCGGACGCTCAGCAGCAGGCGGCTTCCAATGAGGTAGGTGACTTGCGGACACTCAGCAGCAGGCAGCTTCCAGGGACAAAGCGGTCAGCAAACAGGGCAGCTTCCCAGGGTCCCAGCAATCAGCAGACAGGGCGGCTTCCCAGGGCCCCAGCGATCAGCAGACAGGGTGGCTTCCCAGGTACCCAATGATCAGCCGATAGGGGCACAGCAGGCTTCAGCAGGTAAAGGCACAGCAGGCTTGCAGGGTCTTGGCTGTGCAGGGTCTGTACCTGGGATGGTTCTGAACTTTGAGTCTCATGCAGAGTGGTCAGCGGGGATGGCTCTCACCCGGACCTCCCAACAGAACAGCTGCGGTGGACAGCACAGGAGAGAGAGAGAGAGCGGCCTGGACTCGCGCCGACCTTTTAAAAGCTGCGCGGGACGCTTCCAGGTTGCCCCGGCAACGGCCAACCCAGCGTCGGGTTGCCGGGGCAACAAGGCACGACCCCCCTCACTCGGGCCGCGCTGAGGGAGCGCGGACTTTGTCTCCGGTGGGCGCAGAGCACGGGAAAGCCTCGTGCCTGCACTGTGCCCGCCGCGGGGGCACGGAGACACCTTGGCAGCCCTTGGCCGGAAAGGTGCTAACCGCACCACAGGGGACGTTTTCTCCTGTCCTGCACAGCCCTTTGATGCAGGCTGGCAGGATGCGAGGAATCTGCAAGGGGGGAGGGAGGGATGATGGGACAGGCAGAGGGACAGGCAAAGGGGGGTGGGGAAGGCACGGGCACTCCGTGACAGAGGTATTTACATTAGCATCATAGGCAGAGTGGCAAAAGCATCAAGGACGGTTTCACATGAACAGAGGTAAAAAACAGGTAGCTGAGCCATTGTTTTACTACCCCCCTGCTGCACACCTGACTCCTAAAAGTGCAGCCTGAAAGGAATGATACTGGCTGGGCAGTTACAGCATGGGCCCGCAAAGTAAGATTTCCATTAAGCACTTGAAAAAAAAAAAAAGCGTCTCCTTCAGAATTTCTGTCACCTCCGTTTGAAAAACTGCACAATTTTTTTTTAGGGGGCAGTAAGCTTACTTCCTTTCTGAATCACCTTAAAGGTAGAACACCTGCAATAAAAGCATTTATTTAAAACAAAATAGAGTATTTTTTATGGAAACACTAAATATGCTGTATTTACAGGTGAAACTCGAAAAATTAGATTGTGTAAAAGTTCATTTATTTCAGTAATGCAACTTAAAAGGTGAAACTAATATATGAGATAGACTCATTACATGCAAAGCAAGATAGTTCAATCGTGATTTGTCATAATTGTGATGATTATGGCTTACAGCTCATGAAAACCCCAAATCCACAATCTCAGAAAATTAGAATTTTACATGCAATCAATAAAACAAGGATGGTACATAGAACAATATCGGACCACTGAAAAGTATAAGCATGCATATATACTCAGTACTTGGTTTTGGCCCCTTTTGCAGCAATTACTGCCTCAAGGCGGCGTGGCATGGAAGCCTGTGACACTGCTGAGGTGTTATGGAAGACCAGGATGCTTCAATAGCGGCCTTCAGCTCTTCTGCATTGTTCAGTCTCATGTCTCTCATCTTTCTCTTGGCAATGCCCCATAGATTCTCTATGGGGTTCAGGTCAGGCGAGTTTGCGGTCCAATCAAGCACAGTAATTGCACGGTTATTGAACCAGGTTTTGGTGCTTTTGGCAGTGTGGGCAGGTGCCAAGTCCTGCTGGAAAATTAAGTCAGCGTCCCCATAAAGCTCATCTGCGGAAGGAAGCATGAAGTGCTCCAAAATCTCCTGGTAGACGGCTGCGTTGACCCTGGACTTAATGAAGCACAGTGGACCAACACCAGCAGAAGACATGGCTCCCCAAATCAACACAGACTGTGGAAACTTCACACTGGACTTTAAGCATCTTGCAGTGTGTGCCTCTCCATTCTTCCTCCATACTCTGGGTCCTTGGTTTCCAAATGAGATGCAAACGTTGTTCTCATCAGAAAAGAGGACTTTGTACCACTGAGCAACAGACCAGGTCTGTTTTTCTTTAGGCCAGGTAAGACGCTTCCGATGTTTGTTGTTCAGGAGCAGCTTGACAAGAGGAATTCGACATTTGAAGCCCATGTCCAGGATCTGTCTGTGTGTGGTGGCTCTTGATGCACTGACTCCAGCCTCAGTCCACTCCTTGTGAAATTCCCCAACACTTTTGAATTGCCTTTTCCTGACAATCCTCTCCAGGCTGTGGTCATCCCTGCTGCTTGTGCACCTTTTTCTTCCACACTTTTACCTTCCACATAACTTTCTATTAATGTGCTTTGATACAGCACTTTGGTAACATCCAACTTCTTTTGCGATTACCTTTTGAGGCTTTCCCTCCTTATGGAGGGTGTCAATGATGGTTTTCTGCACAACTGTCAAGTCAGCAGTCTTTCCCATGATTGTGATTCCTACTGAACCAGACTGAGAGACCATTTAAAGGCTCAGGAACCCTTTGCAAGTGTTATGGCTTAATTAGCTGATTAGAGTGGGACACTTTGAGCCTAGAATATTGTACCTTTTTACAATATTCTAATTTTCTGAGATTGTGGATTTGGGGTTTTCATGAGCTGTAAGCCATAATCATCACAATTATGACAAATCACGGCTTGAACTATCTTGCTTTGCATGTAATGAGTCTATCTCATATATTAGTTTCACCTTTTAAGTTGCATTACTGAAATAAATGAACTTTTGCACGATATTCTAATTTTTTGAGTTTCACCTGTATCTCATGAAACCATGTGGTATTTTATCTCATGTGATATCCAGTGGGATGGATACAGTGGAGAAGAATTAGAACCCCTGTCATTTTATATTGCTAATAAAGAGGTAAAATGGTTTAAACTGTAGAAATATGCCAACTCACTAAGTCAGTGCAGTCCCTGTAGTGTATGTATTCATATAAAAGAAAAAAAGGTGACTTGAATATCAGTCAAAGGATCACAGAACACATATGGTGTATCAAAAACAACTAAGCTAAATTAGGTAAATACAAAATGTCTTTTTAAATGTCAAATATTGAATGAAAATAATCTAAAAAAATCACACAATATATAAATACCCTTCTTCCAGCAATAAAAAAATTGTGTGTGTGTGTGTGTGTGTGGGGGGGGGGGGGGGTTACTAAAACTGGTTCGCTCAGAATCTGGTGCAGCTGTGCATGGTAGCCAATCAGCTTCTAATCTCAGCTTGTTCAATTAAGCTTTGGCAATAAAACCTGGAAGCTGATTGGTTTCTGTGCAGACATGCACCTGATTTTGCACTGTCCAGCTTTAGCAAATAAACCCCACACTACTGGTGGGAGAAGGGTATTTATATATGTGTGTGATTTTTTATACTACTTTTATTCAATATTTGACATTTAGAAAGATATTTTGTATTTACTTAAATTATAATTAAAGGAAATGCTTTTTTTTTTTAGTTTTGGATAGAGTGGAGAGGTATTAGAACACCTATCTGGTTTCTGCTGTCTGTTCCCATTAGGGAGATTTACCCGCTCTATTTGTACTGTTTACCATTATCATTAAAAGTGGCATGGAAAGAAAATCCTGAATTTTGGGTTATCCCCAGAAAAGTAATAGAGGGGGCAACTTCCAATGGGGACACTGATGGCAAAAAAAAAAATGACGGGGTTATAAACCTCCATTACTGTATCCAAAATGAAAAAGAACGTTTTGCCTTTAGTTACCTTTTCAAGAAGCCTTTCTCAACCTTTTCAACAGAGAGGAACCCTTGAAATATTTTTCCAGTCTCAGTAAACCCCTGCTAAAATGACTATATCTATGATTCATGAATTCATAATTCATTAGTGTGATGGTCAGTGGGAAGAATGCTTCTTGCACTTGTGGACATTGGGAAGAATTACTCCCTTATAACTAGATAGCTAAAAAGATCAATGATGTTAGCGGGAAGATCTCTCTAAAAATAATTGTGAAAATGTATAGCATATGACACATGTTCTAACAAAGGATTAGTCCATTTTGATATGCATGAGCATTGTATTATGTTTGGAGTGATTGGGAGGTTTTTGTAGCAAAGGAGATATATGCTTGTATATTCACTAAAAAAGTCTCCAAAAATCTGGCAAAATGACAGGAGAAAATAAGTATATTGGGGTGAATTTACTAAAGGCACATAGACTAAGCACTTTGCAAGTGAAATTGCTCCAGAGCTCAGTAAATGAAGGGAAACTCTGCTGACTTCCATCATCCAATCATGTGCAAGCAAAAATGCTGTTTTTTTTTCCTTGCATGTGAATGAGTATTATTTGTAAAGTGAAGCTTTACTTCATGTACTAAGCTCTGGAGCAACTTGTAAATTGCAAGGTCTATTTGACTTAGAATAGAACTATAAGCACTATAGGTTAGAACCCCTGTCAGTTTTTTTTTTAGATTTTTTGCCATCTGTGTCCCCGTTGGAAAATTTCCCCTCTATTACTTTTCTGGAAACAACCCAAAATGTGGGATTTTCTTTTACTTTCACTGTCAATGATAATGGTCAACAGAACAAATAGAGAGGGTGAATCTAATGGGGCGCCGACAACAATAAAAACCTGACAGGTGTTCCAATCCACCTC